TCTCTGCAGACAGACCTGGTCATCCTCTGGCATGCAGCTAAATGTTCTCTGACTGCAGACTTGATGCGAAAGCCTAGCCAAAGCTGCCACTTTCTCCCCTTACTCTCAAGCACTGTTATGTTCCTGCTTCTGCACACCTGCAGAGGATATTGTTTTGGCCAGAATAAGATGAGCACAGGTGGTAACATAATGCACATTGCAGCTAGATTTAACACCTGTTGCCCATCGGGTTTAGGAGTTTTAATCTGGTTTATTCATGTTTTTGGCACTTTGGTTTTCTGCTTTCTTTTATATTAAAAAAAAAGCAGTTTAATAAGTGGACAAAGCAGCAGCAGATTTATGTAGAGGTGGTGCAGATTTGTCATCGGGGCCTGCTCACAGAGGGGCTGTGTTTCTGAAGTGGTTGTTTTCTGTTTTTGCAAAAGCATATATGCATAAATGAAAGGGTTGGTACATTTTAAACCTGTAAAATTCAGGTTTTTACCTTAGAGCTAATACCCAAGTCAGCTATGGGCATCTTACCTGGCAGTCACAATCCAGGATGGATTCCAAGCGGAGTTCATTTTAGGGGTTAGATAGGCTCGATTTTAAACACTTCTGCCTTTCCCCTGTCTATGGGATGACAAAGTAGAAGTTGCAATGCCTGATACCCATGGTGTAGGCAGCACAAGTTTATGTGTTTCTGTGTCATGTCATCTATGGACTGGTTCCAGGTTTGCTGCTCCTGGTAACGGGTTAAAACTTACACAGGGGAAGTTTAGATTGGATATAAGGAAGAAGTTCTTTACTGTGAGGGTGGTGAGGCACTGGAATGGGTTGCCCAGGGAAGCTGTGAATGCTCCATCCCTGGCAGTGTTCAAGGCCAGGTTGGACAGAGCCCTGGGTGATATGGTTTAGTGTGAGGTGTCCCTGCCCATGGCAGGGGGGCTGGAACTGGATGATCTTAAGGTCCTTTCCAACCCTAAATATTCTATGATTCTATGATTATTGCAAGCATAGAACAGTTTCTGTGTTGAAATTAGATCCCATGTAAAAAGAGGAAAGGCTTTCATTATATGAGCAGTGCTCAGTACATAGAAATGCCAAGATTCCTATCCCTCAACACTGGCCGCAGAGGCATCTGTCCAGCACAGCATTTTAGCAGCTATGCTTTTAATTTTTCTATTTAACAGTACAATAGAGTCTTTAAACATGAGGTTTATGAGCTACCAGGAAAAAAAAAAGAAAAACCTTATGGCAAAAGTAGTTGGAAAGGGTGTCAATCTAATGGTCTTTTGAATTCCATTTAACTCCATTCACAGCACTCTTTCACAGTCATCTGAAACAAACTCTGTTTAGTCACAAACATTTTTTTCTGGACTTAGAAATTGTATTCCCAGGCTGTTCTAGGCTAAAACTTTGCAAATGTGGTATTTTTTTTCTTTTGAAAAGTGAAGACAGACAGAAAGCTTTCAGTTTTCCAGAATGTTTGTGAATAAATTCCCTTACCTTTTTCCCCAAATAAAAAGAGCGGTTATCTCCGTGGAGGAGTCTCTCCACTACAGAAAACTGAGTGCCTTATCGTCGATGTAGATTTCAGGACAGACAGTGCATTGCCTGTAAACTTGGAGCTCAGATGACCGATGGAAACCAGATAGAGTGTGCCGATCACTGCAGAGAGATTAGGCTCTGTAATTTGCATCTCGTCTCCCAGTGATGTTTGCTCCGTTTTTACCTTCACGTTTACCTGGGCTTTGGACACAGGCAATTGAAGGCTGAACTTACATGAACTTTCTTGTTTCAAGTGGAGTATTTCTGTTTAGCTGGATTTTAGTTCTGCATCTAACAAAATACAAACACTTCAGGGAAAGTGTGTCAACTTCCTGCTCCCTCAAAATTCACCATAGAGCTTTCTGTCCGGTGCAGCACCCAAGCAGTTATGCTTTTACGTTCCTGTATTTAACAATCTGAAGTATCAATTTGAGGATTCTAAACCATGTTTCTGGTTTAGAAACAAAATTAGCTCCTCTTTCCCAAAGTCCTAGGACATTTTCTAGCTGGATAAGCCTGTTCCCCTTGAGAGACAGGCAGGATGGGGCTTAGGGCCCTTCTTAAGGGGGCACACACCCCAGGCACTGCGAAGGCAGGTTGACATTAACTAGCCTGCACAAATATTTGCTTGCATCTTTGCCATTTTCCAGTTCTGTCTCTCTTGTTGACTCTCCTTTGTCCCTGCCTATCATGTTTCTCTCCTGGCTGTCACTATTAGTATGTAATCTTTCTGTTCTGTGTTCTCAACTAAAGCACATTTGTTGTTCATTATCTGAAAGACGCTTTATTAATAGACATAAATAACATTGCTAATGCCTTACACATAACTATACTGTCACAGCGGTTCATATGAGGTGACCACCATGCAATATAGCACATTCTGTCCATAGCCAACAGCTGTTATTTCTGACCATTACAAGGCCAGTGTGCAGACAGCCTCACCCAGGCTGAAGACTTCATTTGATAAGTTCTATGTGTAAAGATTGTTAGGAGTGGAAGAGGAGAAGGTCGAAGGAGGGACAGCAATGGAACACTGGCTTTCCTTACTTTCCCATAGTTCTAACCAGAGTATTGTGAAATTCCATTGGATAGGAGACGATGTCTTTTACCCTGTGTAAATGGTACTGGGTGTTTGTGGCATTGCACATGTCAACCGAGTATTGCTTGAAATGCTTAAAAAACTCAGGGATGGTAGAAGTAGGATGCTTACAAGTGCGTGCTCTAAACACAGGTTTCTGGAAATTTGACTAAGATCATGTTGAGGAGTTTGACTATTTTCCTATTCATCTTCCACGGAAAAGGTTTTATCTCAAACAGTTCTGTTTGTAACTTGAAGGCATTCACCACCACTGGGACTTAAACCTTATCCTACTAAGGAGGATACCAGAGGAAACTGGTTTGAGCTAATTGACCTTATGATCTTATGATGGATCTTAGAATCCATTTCTAACTGTGTCTTTAGAGGAAGGTGCAAAAATCATCAGGAACAACTGCTTAGAAAGGAAGTAATTTTATCACCCTTGTCTTGGGGTTCTGTGTAGTCCAGAGCTGAGCCATTGAGTACTTTCCCGTACACTGTGGAAAGAATCCGTCCTGGTGCTCATATAAGCTCTCCGGCACTACAAACAGCTCAAACCTTAAGCCTTTTTTTTTTAGTAGCAATTAATGAGAGTTGTGATCTAGAAATTAAAATGGTAATGAGCTTTTAGCATAATGAAAAGAGCTTGTAAATGCAAGAAAAAGCATTTGTGGGTCTCCAAGTCACATTACTCCCCAAATACAAAAGCAGATGTTAGCTTTGCCTGGAAAGAGCCATATTGACTCATTTCATTTTGCACAAATCTGTTTAAGCACCCATAACCCTTATGTCATACAGAAAGATGATGCACTCATGTTTCCAGCCTCATAGTCTAGTGTTCTCCTTATCAATAGCTTTGTTAATTTGGGGCTGATAAATCTGCATGCTTATTTTAGCTTGGTTATTTTTTTCTTTGTTTGCACGTGCTTTAATATCTTTTAAAATGTACCAGTATGGAGTGATGTACAGTGGATGATTTAGGAGCCAAATAAACAGCTAATGCAGTTTATAAATACCTAATGCAGTTTAAACCTGTACAAAATAATGTTGGTTTTTTTTTTTGTATGACTCAAATGGTACTTTGAACAATTTATGTGAAATTCAACATAATTGCTCTAAACTAAAAGTGCAAGTATATTGTTTTGATCTTTGCCTCTCTCGGTGAATGCTAACACAAGCAATACCATTTTGAGCAGAGGATGAAACTCACTTTTTATGAGTAACCCAGTTGCTTCTTTTTGATGACTGTGACACTTCGCAACTCTTGCAAGTACCCAAGTATAACAATGAAGCTTCTTTCTGTGTCAAAGACACCTAAGAACATACCAGAGTTTGGAAGGCTTTTAAGCTTGCCCTGATAAGCAATTCATGAATATTGTAGCTAGAGTGTGCTCCTCACTGTTAACTGAATTGATAAGTTGAATAGATGTCCAGTTTTTGCATCTGAATTGAAAGTAAATTTCATTTGTGGGGGAAGAAGGAAGAAAGCATCACTCAGAAAAAGAGGCTTTGGTTTTGAAACAATTTTCTTTCTTTTAACGTGTTCAGAACATTCATCTATTTGAAGTCCGTCTCTCAAATATAACAGGTTTTATCTCAGAGGCAAGAAAAAACATGGCATTTTAAGAAAACATAAAAACTGAACAACCAAAACAAAATGTATTTTAAACTGTTTCCAAGTGTTTTGAGTTGTTTCGGTGTAGGCGGTACCTACATTTGGGGTCTAATGCAGAGTCAGGGATATTTACTGTATATCTTTTTTTTCTGATTTTGTTTTATGAGCATAATTTGGACCTACCTCATTAAGCAAACATATATTCTCACAAACGTTCCTTTTGCATTTCATGGCTGTAGCTTATCACTATTCATATTCATTGGCTCACTACTCTATTGGCTTCTTCAAAAGTTGGAAAAGTTTGGATAAAAGGAAAACTCTTGCTCTTACCAAACAACTTTGAGTAACTCAGTGAGAGCTGTCAGAGGTGTTGGTATAAGGAAAATGCCCAATTTGCATTATATAGAATCATAGAATAGTTAGGGATGGAAAGGACCTTACGATCATCCTGTTCCAGACCCCTACCATGGGCAGGGACACCTCACATTAAACCATATCACCCAAGGCTCTGTCCAACCTGGCCTTGAACACCACCAGGGATGGAGCATTCACAGCCTCCCTGGGCAACCCATTCCAGTGCCTCACCAACCTCACAGTAAAGAACTTCTTCCTTATATCCAATCTAAACTTCCCCTGTTTCAGTTTGAACCCATTACCCCTTGTCCTATCACTACAGCCCCTAATGAATAGTCCCTCCCCAGCATCCCTATAGCCCTCTTCAGATACTGGAAGGCTGCTAGGAGGTCTAAGGGATTTTGGGAATTAATTTCTTTTCAGCTTTGAAAATCCTACCTTGAAGACTCAATCTCACAACTCAGTATGAGGAGGAGGAAGAAGGTCACAAATTGCCATGTCCAGAATATGGGTGGTACTTATAGCATTGGAGTGGTCAATGGATGTTGGAATAGATCTCTCAAAATTGCCCTGTTCCTGAAGCCACTGAAACAAATGCTTAGCAGGCACCTGGGAGACTTAACAGCACAGCAGGGTATTGTGTTCCTAAACCCTTGACTCAGACCAGTCACCTAATGAATGTGGGGCTTTATCCTCCCTATCTAATGCAATTGTGGATGTGCTCATAAATAGCTACTTCTTAAATGTACTGGACGTGGATGGCTCTCCTGCTAACCTATACATGGAAGTTATCTCTGTAACTTGAAGTTATGTATTTTGTGATCTACCTAATGAGTAAAAGTGACCCTTAGGCCCTTGCCTGTACTGCAGTCCTGCCAATGAGAAGCTACTTGTGAGAATAAGGTTTTCAGGAGGGGAATGGGGGGATAAAGATTAACTCTTCCAAACGGCTTTACAAAAGAGATACAGTGCACCATATTATCTAACAGCGCTCTGCCTTTTCACTCAGGGAGACAGACATTAAGGTGCATTAGTCCTATCGTTTGTGTGTCTGTAAATATCAATAAAGTATGTTATTTGGCTTTCACATTTACACAATGAAGGAGGAGGACTATCTTTTTCAGGAAATTTCACAGAGCCATTCACAAACAAAAGCTCAGTAATTTAATCTTTCAAAAGCTCAATAATGCTAAGTTCAAAATTGCAGGTTTTAAACTAATGTACCTGATAAGTAATGATGACAGAATTTAAAAGGTCCATTATTTGGTAATCTAATATTCCCAATCCCAGTTATCTGTCAAAGAGAATACTCTCCCTTAAACAGTGCTAATGTGTTCACATCTACATTAATCTCTTCGGGAGAAAAGAAGCATTCTTTACGGGCTTTATCTGTTTCCAAATGTCTGACTCCACAAGGAGCCATTTCGCACTGCTGATGAGGCTATGTAAATGACTCAAATGTCTTTGTATGATAGGTGCGATTTCGTACGGATACACGTGATACCGTATTACTGAGAGGCACTCCCTGGCCAGCCAGCCCTCAGTGTTCATTTACAGGCTGTGCCTACTGCTTTTGAATCCTCTGCTGCTTCTCCACTCCAAAACAAACATCGTGCTTACAGGTTTGCTCCTCACCTGCTTTTCTGGCATGATACACTGCTTTTCGGAGCAGCACAACTCCCTTCTGTTGTGTCATCTCCCATCAGTACTCCAAAGAGTGTGATATCGATATGACAAGATTCACAACGTGAGAGCTTGAATGAATTGTGCCTCTTCTTTCTGGGAAATTCTATAGGATAATATACAAAGAGTTAGGATCAGGTATACCACAACTGCCCATGGACTCCAAATTCATGCAAGGGTGAAGCGAGTGGCATAGGAAAATGGAGTCACTGCGTGCAAGGCTCCTTCCTTTCAGTTTACTTCCTGTGTTAGTTTCTCAGTTTGCATTTCAGCTCTCATAAATCTCATGACTAGAGAAGGTTTTGGCCTCAAGTAAGACGGAGTCCATCCTGCTCCATTCTGAGTTGCGGCTGATACAGGATTTAAAGTGTGTGTGCAATAGGATAAAGGCAGTCACTACTTCAGGAATATTGTACTTTCTCCTAGCTGAATTTTCAAACACTCACCCAAGTAGAACATACATACGTACACACAGAGTTCTTTATGTTCCTTGTGTCTTACTCTAGCTTGATTTTCAGAACTTAATAACAGATACCACAAAGTGACCCAGAAGGAAACTTTTCTGCATCGTTAAGTATATCAATATAAAAGCTTCATTTGCAATGCTGCCTAGAGCAATGAAACAATGCAATTGCTCTCTGGATCCTATGCAGCAACATAGAATCATAGAATCATGGAATAGTTATGGTTGGAAAGGACCTTAAGATCATCGAGTTCCAACCCCCCTGCCATGAGCAGGGACACCTCGCTCTAAACCATATTACCCAAGGCCTCGTCCAGCCTGGCCTTGAACACTGCTAGGGATGGAGCATTCACAACCTCCCTGGACAACCTATTCCAGTGCCTCACCACCCTAACAGGAAAGAATTTCCTCCTTATATCCAACCTAAACTTCCCCTGTTTAAGTTTTAACCCATTACCCCTTGTCCTATCACTACAGTCCCTAATGAAGAGTCCATCCCCAGCATCCCTATAGGCCCCCTGCTGTAAGAGTTCCGAAGGTGGTGTCGACTCAAGGTGGTTTTGTTCAATTCAAGGAAAAGGATGGACGGTCAGAATTGCAGTATTGTTGAGAAAATGTAGGTGTTTACAGTATGTGCAGGGTGTGGGTTGGGGAAAGTAGTGGAGTGGGAATTGCTTTTGGAAGAAAAAGATGCTATCCTGAGCCAGGGAAGAAAGTCTAATGCTCACATGTGAAAGCAGCTCTGTTTCTATTTAAAGAGTGAGACGAAAGGTCCAGTTTAAGGTATAGAAGCTATCTGTGCTTAATGGAGTCAGCTATGTATCAAGAAAGAGTATATTAAAAAGTATTGCGTATTATTAAAAGAATATGTTGCATTCAGTATAATTAGATATTATGATGGATGATTAGATATTATTTTCAGTGTCTGAAATAAATGGTTATATTATACTTCTGTATATAAAACCCATGAGACCATTGATTTCAAGGCGTGCTTTTGCATCTGTGGGGACTTTTCTTTATATCCTTGGAGAAAAGGAAGAAAATCTGCTAAGATTTTCACAACAGCATAAACTTAAGAGAATATCACATAAAATAAATCACTGGGAAAGCTGAGAGCTGTTTGTAGATGAACCACACACAGAGAAAAACTATTGAAGGCACATCTATAGTGGGACATCAACAAAACTGATCCCTTAAAGCAGATGGATGGCAATAGCTAGTCATACCTGGCTGGTTCAAAACAATGTACCACCACTGCTCAAAGAGCAGACTGTCTTACTAGCACCTGCTGAAAGCTGGGAGCTGCAGTTGCTGCCGATGTGGATGCTGCCTATGCAAACTGGGTCTGGGAATCCAGTAAATGCCAATTGGTCAAAGGACAGGATTTATTTCAATTAGGAAGATCATCACCATGGAGAAATTAACACAGCTGTTTCTGTGGCGTGTATGTGACACTCTGGAAACTAAATTTACTGTGGAAAACATATGCCTCCATATACTAAGCCATTCATTCAATACCTGGCTTGAGACTAACACGCAGTTATCAGCCAGCTTCAGGGAAGCTCTTAACAAGTATTTAAATCTGCATTCCTATTTTAGTGTTTTGTTGAATCATGGCGAGGGCAGCATGATATTAGCATGACACGTGTAACCCTTGTGGGAACATTCCAATTCTGCATATACACGCTCATCCCAGATGCAATGCCCTGCCTGCCAGCCTCGGTATCTGCTGCAACCGAGTGTGCAAAAGGCACACACAGAAACTTAAATGCTCTATAGTAGCATTTTGCTCCTGTTTTCCCTCTATGGATGTCTACAGGGAAAGCTGACCCTTTTCATCCCATTTGGCACACTAGGCATTAATTTGGTGATGTTTTCAAAGGTTTGGAAAGACTGCAATACCTTTTACTTGCAACTGTGTGAATCAGAGTGATGGTAAACCATGGGAAGATCGAATCCTGGGTATGTGTCCCTGAACTAGGAGAATGTGCAGAATCTTCTTTGTGTTTCTCAGGTTTACTTTGACCCTTCAAAACCAGGGGGTGCTCAGTTCCCACCTGATGTATTGTATCTGATTGCTGCAGATAAATTGATCTTTATCTACAAGAAGAGATCTTTTTTGCAGCTCGCATGAAAGCATCTTCCCAGATGATGTTTAAACAACTGCCTATTGAAGAGCTTTTGCAATATCAGTAATTGAAAGTAAATGGGTGAGAGGGTTTATTAGGTGCTTTCTGTATTCCTATGGAATTCCCTTTCAATTCCAAACACTACCTAACAATTAATTTCTGCCTTTAATATCTCAGCTTTTCCTTTCTTCACTGTTTCACTGCTCCTTTGGGTGCTTTTAAAAAGCTCTTTTCAATCTGCTTGTCTTGATTCTGTCTGCTGTTAAATATCAGGCATTGCTCCAGTTTAGTTCAGCTAGCCATCAACTCAAGAATATAGATACCTTCATTTTTTAGGCTGGTCTTTCTGTCCTTCTAACAGATGACAGCCAGTATCCACAACTCAATCAAAAACCTGCTCCAAGCCTGCCTTAGAAAAGTCTGATTTCTCCTCAGGCTTGTGGATTTCCCCCCTTCCTTTCTTTTTCCCTTTGAATTTGCTCTACAGGTCTTTAGCTCCAGCTAGTGGCTTCCTCCAAAATGCAAATGCTGTCCGATGCCCTAAAAGCAAGCAGAAAGGTGGGGTTAAGTTGTAATTCTTACCGTGTTCTGAAATGTGTGTTGAGGGGGGGAATCACTCAGAGGTGTTAGTCCTTCCTGGCTAATTTGAGTTAACCCACAAATGCTTTAAAATGTAATGAATACACTTCTTTTTCAGATTACAAGCTCCTGCATTATCACATTGGGCCAAATTCTGCCCTCAAGTGTAGACTTGCGTAGCTCTTCTGGACTTCAAAGGGAGCTGCAGATATGTGTCTTAAAGCAAAAACACAGATGTTTTATCAAATGAAAAGCTTTACCTTAGCTCCTGCTTTGACTCTCTTATTGAGGGTTGGTGAAGCCTTTCTGCAATGTGCGATAACAGACCTAGAAAACCTTTGTTTTTAAGTAGGGTTTGAGATTTGCATCCACCTTTGGTGGGATCCCTTTTCTCTCAGGACTTCATAGTGCATGTGGATGTCTTTGGGGTCTGGGAGCCCTCTGCTCAGGTCTTACACCACTGGTGATAGAAGATGGCTCCTGGAGCAGCAGAAGGAGGGAGCTTTTGGAAGTTCCACTGGGCAGAGGGATGAGTGCCCCTGATGGAAACCTCTCTTAGGTGAATCTGGGCTACGGTTCTGCAGCCACAGCATGTCCTGCATTGGTAAATGTGCAGTCACCAGCAGGGAGTTTTTGAGAGAATCTGAATACTGGGGTGGAGAAAAGCAGGTTATTTCCCTATGAGGAGGGAAGCAAGTTTTCCCAGTGACAAATGATTGTATTTTCATTCAGTTAATTCACACAGGCTGCCCTAAGCTTCAGCATGTTAATTTTAAATGGTAAAAACAAAAGGCAATTTAAGTTCATAGAATCTTACACATCAGTTTTCAACTTAATTGACAGTGCAGGTAAAATAGGTATAGCTTAAAACTCTCTCCCTCAGCTCCCCCCCCAGTCCGGGAAGCAGTACCTATATGCACTGGGGGATGAAAGCACATAGGTAGACACAAGTCGAGCTTTGTTGTGTGACTCTCAGGGTTAGCACCAATACAGATATGGCTGCCTTGGCAGCACTAGGGGAAACCCATTTGGATTCTACAATCCTCTTGTTTAAACCCCCAGACTCAAATGTCTGCTGTTTGTTCAAAGACTTTTATTGTTTCCATTTCATTTCTTGGTGAACTGGATACTGGGACAGGTGTGTCTGCAGTCTGTTCATATTGACTGTCCATCTAAGATACCAGATAACATGGTAATGCATTCCTGGGTTTCACAAACTTTGTCACTTCTGCCATAAAACCCTGGCACCTAGTGTAAATAAATCTATCTGGAATACAGTAAATTCAATCCAGGTCTCTCTCCAAGGGCAGTAATCCTTCCTGAAGGCCTAACCTTCCTCATCAGGCAGAAATTGTGCTAGTCCTGCACTATTGATTCAGTCCTTTCCTGAAGGTGACAAAAGCACCAGAGTCCATGAAGGGATTTTATGTCAACATCTCAAACGTAGCTTTTGCCATAGCTGAAGCCTGTGAACTAAACAACATCTATATTGTGGAACACAGAGAATATCTGTACTTGTTCTGCCATGATACAGACTCAGCTGTATCTCTGCTTTGTCTGTCTGTATACCTATGCACAAACTCACATATGCACGCTATTTATGTATATGTATATTTATATACCAAAGCATGCGTCTGCACAGTCCCCCACCAGTTTGTTGGATTCCTTCTCTCCCTCAAACACTGTCATTTATTTCCAACATAGATGTTCAGAGAGAGGCGGAACAAGCAGAATTGGTCGGTGCTTCCCAAGCTTCTATTGTCAGCGAGTGCAACGTTGTACCAAGGCAAACAAATAACCTGTTAGTGCTGTAACTGCTCTACTGAGTGCACCAAGAGCACACTTGGGACACACGCAGGAGTCTGTTGATCCGCTGGGTCAGGGACTGGAAATGTCTGAAAATGCTCTTTAGAAAAATGAAAGAACCCACACTTTCTGTGAGTTACTGGGGTCTTTCAAAGT